GTTTATGATGATGATTATATATATAATAAAAGATTTTTTGGAAAATGGAGACCTATGGCGACAGGCATAGGTCATATAAGAGATCATAAGTAACAAAGTTTGAAAATATAATGATAATTGAGTCAATTAGATAAGCTTTGTTAAATGAGAGTTCAAATTTATAATGATGTTTGATTCAATCATAATAACTGCTAATCAATTTGAACTAGATAAAAAAATCCACTTCTTTTCACAGTCATTCAACAAAAAAAGAAAATCCTCCATTAATAAACTAAAAAAAAACAGAAAGATAATAAAAGAATGAATAAAAGAACATATATTAATAGAAATATGATCAAGGTTCCTTATATATGTGCTACAATGAAAGTTAAGATTAAATTAGATATACATGCATATAAAAGAATAACACATGAAAATCCAAACCTGCAAATAACTCAAAATGAAACGGCCGAGATTTTGTTCCAGTTTTTTTAAAGATAAAAACAGCAAGAAAGCCACACAAACGAACATCCGATTTGAAAAATAGAAAGCTAGTAATCAACATCAACTGCGGGTTGACCAAAAAAAAAAAAATCAACATTAACAGCTAAAATAATCAAATTTCGTCAAAATAGATAGCCAATAATCAAAATTAAAATAATTTTAATTTTGATAAGAAAATTTTCATGAGAAAAAGTACTTTCTAAGAAAGTAAGGGAGAAAAAAATAGATTGCTGTCGTTAAAATTTGAATTATAGAATTGATAGTTACAATCTCTCATGTAACACACGATAAACACTACTTTTACAGAACACATCTTTACCTCGAAACATGAGAGAGTGACGTAGCGAAAGCAATTGTTGAACATTATAAGAGATATGACTGCTAAGAAATATAAAAGGGAAAAAAAACAAAGTTTCACATTTGATTGAGCCATTTGAATGTTACTTCAGATTTCACCTACAGCACCAACTCCTCGATGTCACCATTACAACGATATGAACTTTTAATATACTTGTCGTTTCTGTCAAAATGATGCAGCTTCAATGAATATTTGTTTGAGACAACAAAAACGGCACCCTTTATAATTTAATTGGGAGAGTGCATGTTCTCCCCCTTACCTATGTTTAAAAATGTATTCAGATTGCAACTAATCATCTTCACCAAGGCTTGGATTTCTTCCTTTTTCAATTTTTTATACTCGTAAATGAGAATATATACACAGCTCCATCAGTACGGATAAATGATAAAAAAAACCCATTAACTGAACCCCAATTCTCTTCATCGAAAAAGGTCTTTGAAGATGGGTGATTTGATCCCATCCTTTTTCTAGATTTTGGCCCTCGAAGGGATTCTAAATTTCTAATGCTTGTGGATTACCTCATGCAATAGCAAATTCAAAAAATGAGAAAGCTCGAGTTGCAACAGCGCTCAAAAATAAACATAAGCTATATCTCCTGCTTTTCGACGGACGGTCTAACTAACAATAAGGAATTTGGTCTCATAATTTGCAGCCATTTACACGGACGGGAGTTTGCCTCCATCAAGTGCTATCAATTATATAAAACCAGCAAACCCTACCCCCCTCGAAACTCCTCGAAGAATAAGATAAAAAGACAAACAGAAAACCCCCCACAGAGGCACTGCAGGTGCGGATCACATACGAAAGCGAACAAACAGTTAACAAACAAAGCAACCTTGATTAACAATCCAATTCTATCAGTTCCAGTCTAAGTCGCTTGTCAGTAGGGAGCAAGGATAGTCAGCCTGTAACCCACAATCAGAGCATAAAACATATATCCAATCTCTAATTCGGTGGCCTGAAGTTGTGCCCCAAAAGAGTTTACAAAGCTTTTCAATATTCTACACCACAATGAAATATAGAGCTTATTAGAAGGCACACATGGATAACATAAAAGTGTGGAAAATGCTAAGATGAATTAATTCAGCAGAAAATTTACTTGAGGCGAACCCAATAGACATAGCTATGCATATAACCAGCTACGGAATTCACATGTTCATAAGCCACGCATAGGAAAAGGTACCAAACCATTAAGCTGATCAACAATAACTTGGTCTTTAGCTTTGCAATTTAGATTTTTCTCTCTAAAATTTTTTTTTAAAAAAAAGAACGAATCTTTCTGGGCAAAAAGTCTTCTCATGAGCAGCTTGTGTATTATGTGAAACATAACATTACTTTCAAACGATGGAAAAGCAGCAATTAATCATAGAAGATCAACAACAATAAATTCTTTTAAGGGGCTTAAAAGAACATAAAACTCATGCTGCACATTCTGAAAGTTCAAGCCACAACAATTAGGCCACATTGAGCTCATGATGTTTATGAAGAAAAAGCAGAAATTACCCTAAAACCGTCTCACCATGACGTTTACGAACACTCAATGACGGCTATGCAATTAACCATAGGGTATATATAGTAGGAAAAAAAAATTCAAATCATAGGGTGTTAGGGTTCACCCTCATTAGCCGCCAATGTATTTGAATTTTAGTCATAAGTTAAGGAAAATTATCTTCAATTTAAGCTGTTAATTTTAAAAAAACTTATCCAAACTTCAATGAGGGAGATACGTGATCATATTAATATCTTATCTAATACAAGGAGTATATAACCTAACAAATAGCGCCTAAACCGGCGCATCACTAAATGGTTATTTACGTTAAAAAAAAATTACATACGTAAAAGACGGGAAAAAAAAAATTTAGAGGCGCGGAAGGAGAAAATTAACATAAATGATAAACCAGAAACCTACTTTCTTTAGCCGCCGCTGCAGTCTTGGAATACCTCCATCACCCGCCGCTCAAGTTCAGGTTCTCTTTGTCAGATATGGCGGAAATAAACTCAATCCGTTGAAGAGCGGCGCACGTCCTCCATGAGCAGAATAGAGATCATGACGGAAATACGGCGATGAAATGAGGATGGAAGATTAGGCGGCAGCGCATTGAGCGACAGCGAACGTGCAGACGACAATATAGGAAATTGTGCAGCTCCGATCATCAGCATTATGAAGGAGTTTCATCCGATTTCAAGTCCGATGAAACTGGATCACGGTAGATGATAAAGAAGTGGAGAAAACGACGTTTAAACATGGGGAATTTGCCAGAATTGAGCATTCGATGCGGCATCGACCGGCCCGCGGTGACCATGTCGCCGGGTAAAATCTGGACGGTCACCTCGAAATTTTTCTTTCCCGATATTATTTTTTATTATCATTGTAAAATCAAAAAGTAAATATAAAAAACAATTGTTAAAAAGTAACTTGGGATTAATGTAAAAATATATTAACCGAATCGCCACTAAAATTTACTATAATAGCTATTACCATCTTAATTGAGCGACATGTGTCTTGGATCAAAATTCTGGATCAAAATTCCTTTCATATATATCTTAAAGATTTAGAAATTCTGGATCAAAATTTCTTTCATATATATCTTAAAGATTTAGGTAGAACAATTTATAACGGTGTAAGAATTTTTATACAGGCACAAGATTTTTTTGTTCAAGCCCATGAAGTCAAGCTCACTGTGGAACCCCTATAACAATACTTCATTTTCATTTTACTAAACATAAGTGAAAACCACAAAAATACAAATAGCAACGAGAGAACAAAATTTATTTATTTATTTTTTTGAAGCAAGAGAACAAAATTGAGATTAAGAGACATTCTATTAGTTACACTATATTTACTTTTGGGATGAGATGAATGGTTATCATTATTTCAACAATTAGAGATGTATATAAATTCACCTGAGACATTGATACTGAATCGTGTTAATCGTGTTGTTTGTGTGTACGCATTGAATACCAGAAAAATATTGGATTGCGTGTGAATTAAGATTGCTCAATGGATTTATCGTGGAGAAAGTTAGCTTTTTATTTCCTAGCATTGGTCAATTTAATTTACCTTTGGCATCATATGCTCTCGGCTCTTTTCTTGTTCTTTGTTTTACCTATTTGACTCCACTCAATGCATAAAGTATAAAGCCATCCTCCTCAATGTCGTATTCTCGTTACGCTTGCTTTTCTCAGTTACAAAAAGGCAGAATATAAAACCTATAATATATATTCGATACTTCAGTCGGCTATATTACGCTCCCGTGACTAAGTTATTAAAATATTTGATTTTGGTTGGTAAATTTTCTAGTTTAATAAAACCTTTTCTGGTTGCCATTGTTCCTCAAACCTTTCAAACACACTGTTGCATGATTTGCTTCTCTGTAATCGTGATCCAACCGAACCCACCTATCTGCACTCTTTCGCGGATTTGGTAGACTTGCTTTATTGTTTCAAAAAAGCAACACTTTTCTCTTCGTGCATGAGAACTTATTCCTTTTTTTCTTTGTTGGTAAATAACAACTTATTCTTTGCATGCTTTGTAAGTTTTCAAAATAGAAGAACATACATTGATATCAACAGTAGTCCATCCATCGATTGGTATCAAATCGTAATTAGAGTACGATATAATTGGGATTTCTTATATATCCAACTAATATGATTATTTGATTCATTCTCGGACATTTGGTCTCTTCTTTTGTACTAAAAGAAAATTAATAATAAAAAAATAGAAGAACATTAATAGCTCAAGAGACAATAGTTGGAGTGGAAAAATCGAACGAAAATACATGTGCAAGAAAAATGGAATAAGCATATCATATAGCGTGATGGTGGAGCCCTATAAGCATATACCAGCCAACCAACCAACCAGATTAGACTCCTTCTAGTATCAAAAGTGCAAAAGTGCATAACTCGCTAGGAATGGGTCCTCATGACCAAATTGCCATTCAATTTAGCTACTTGAAAAAACTCCTGTTCTATCTCCCCACAAGCAATTAAGTCAATGTGTTCAAATCATGTGAATTACTATTTTGTTTTGTTTTTTTCTGTTTAAAAAAAATACTAGACTTTAATTATTACTTTTCGAATGGAGTTTTACTCGCGTCGAGCTAAAGATTAGTCAAATATGATATAGTATTACTATTTCCTTTCTTACTATATATATAAGCTCTCTATGTAGTTAGAAGTTTAGAACAACTCATGTTCTAAACCTAATAAAAACCTTGTCCATCTTTTGCAATGACTAAATACTATATGCATACAAATTTCCACAAGAATATATAAATTGTTAATTCAATATCTTATTACAAGCAATTAATCAATGTGAAGATGAAGCCAAACTGTGGGGGGTGAGCTAGCAAGCTCCTTTGTCTTTGCATCTTGTCTACATCAGGAAGTCAAAAACAGAATACCAATTTGTCCTACAGTTGCACATGGGGTGACTTTTGTCACATTCCAATTCAACATTTGTGGTAGTATTATGGAGTATAATCTCATCTAAAACCTTAATGTGATTCTTCAAAGGAAGAAACTGCTACAGCAAATTATTGCTAGGAAATTCTAATGATAAAATGATGAACGATGAATGTATATCATCCCTAGTAGTATCATTTATTTGCAGGACTGTTGTTTGAACCCAAATCTCTCATTATGCAAATCATACTCAACTTGAAAGTTCTGCATTTGAAAGCTTCCCAGAATGACCGATGGACCTGAGCTGAAATCCGTTCCAAAGCTGTTGTCTGAAACCATAGTCAAGCAGATCACATCATAATTACCTGCAATTAGGAAATAGTTGGCCAATGGCAATTTCATTTCCGCTCCTCCCTTGAAATGGAACTTCAGCTCCGGCAAATCCACAGATTTTTGGCCGGAAATGTTGAAACATGGCTTTAATCCGGTCAAAGACTCGATATTTTCTGCTCTTTTATAGTGGCTCGCTTGCTTTGTGAATTCAGCAACCACAGGTTCGAAAACAGGGGAAGCCATGAAAGTAAAAGTTGACCCAGAATCAACTATAGTTCCTCCATTTCCTTCCGAATCAATGTCTAAATATTTGTGTGGAATCTTAATCTTCTTCCCTCCAACACTGATTCTCTTCAAACCCAGATAATAATACACTTGAAATGCTTTTCTATCTGCCACAATTGGGTTTTTAACAAAAGGGGTGTAGCTGAAATCTCCAGTCTTTTTACCGGAATTGGACTCACCATCCAAAATTAACGAAGAACTTTCGCCGCTGTCATCAAACCGGCGAGAAAGAAGACAATAAGAGAACTTCTTGATGCCTAATTGGCTCGGCAATGAGGCAACTCCCCGACCAAATCCAGCAATTCCGGCAGGTTGTCTTGATGAAAAAAGCGAGCAACCAACGAGAAAGTTTGCAACTTTTTTCCCCGGCAAATCAAGCGTTTCAATTAGTCCAATTCCCCCTGTACTGCCAGAACCATATGTGATGATATACGGTGGGCAGATTTTGGTACAATTCCTCGATTTCACTGATTGGCACTCGCTGCAACTCGTACTAGGATCGAAATCTGGATGAATCCAACCACATTTTTGGTTTAAACAACCCACAATCTTAACCGATGATGACTGTTTAGGACTGAAAGAAGCAATCCCGTTTGACCCCGGAAAAGAACAGTTCTTGCAGGCATAACGTTTTGTACAAGGGAACCACACAAAATCACTGCCGGTATCCATAATAAGGGACAAAACTTGAGGTGGGGTGCCAAAACTGAGGGAAATTGAGTAGCCTCCATAGCTGTGAGGCAACAGAGGAGTACTGGTAATGGCAGAAGAATTTGCGTACGGATGTTTTAAATGGTGGGCTCTGGCTTTGGAATGGGAAGACAAATGGGATAGCTGTTGGTACAGATCTGAATCAGGATTCGGGTTGGAAATAGAAATAGGGATTGTAATTGGATTTGGGGATGATGATGAGGAAATGAAGAGATGGAAAAGGAAGAACAGAGGGAGAAAAAAGCAGAGCATAGTAGAAGAAGAAGAAGAGAAGAAAGCCATTGTAGTTTTTTTTTCTTCTGCCTTGAAGTTTGTGCCTTTGATGATTGGGGGTCAGGAAATTAAAACTAATAATACTTCTGCAAAACAACTGCACTTTTGTAGTAGTACTAGGCTACAATCAAACAAACACCGCTGTTTTCAGTGCCTGATTATGAGGTAAAAAAAAACCAACACAAATGACAATATAGCTAACGTTTAAAAAGATACAACCTTTTTTTTTTCCTTTTTTTTGACACAATCTGATCTTCTGCTTCTTCTTTGGCACCGTGCAGCTTCCACTATACAACAACTGTCACATTTGCATGTGGGCTAAGATTTGCAATTGCAGCCATTGAATTAATCTATAAAGTTTACAGTGAATGATAAGGTCGGTGTGGTTGGCAAAACCTTGAAGTACAGGAATAATATTAGTAGTATTTAGTACTGCTGCTGAATTTTTGGCATTCAATGTGTTTTTTTTTTCACGTTTACTACAAAGGTCAAAGGGAATAGCCGTTAGGGTGGGGGCAGTTGCCCTGCAATTCGGACCAAAATAATAGTACTAACAAACGTTACAAAAACCTTAAAAAATTTTGGCACCTTCTTTTTAACGTTTCTTGTGTTTCTTCTGTTTTTATGTACAATCTTTACTGTGTAGTTTATTCTATTCATAAGAGTTTCTTCACCCTAAAATTACCTCTTTACAACTTTAGTATACTATTAGAAATTTAAAAATAAATGTGAAAATTGAGTAACGATGAATAGCATGCACAAAAGAAGAGTCATTGTCCAAACAGCCCTATATATAGCTAATTATTACCATATCATGTCAGATTAACTTGTATACATCACACATTTAAAGTTCTCAGATAAAGGTAAACATCACCAATCGATTACAAGTAAAGGCATAAATGATCAAATACAAAGTTACAAATAGACATATGTCAATGGAAGTCCTTGTCTGAACGCACCAAATCCATGATACACAACTTTAAACAACGTCCTTCACTTGCTACATTGGTTTAACTATTTTGCATAAAATTGAAGCTACATATGGATATGCTCACGAAAGCAACGCTAATCCATAGCCCTCCCACCCTTATCAATAGTACAGTTTGTGATACTATTCTCATTCAACAAAATGAATTATTAATAAAAATGGGAGTAACTTTTTGAGATTATTATTGTATAAGAATTGATGGAATTTGGTCACTTGTAACTCTCAAGTTGTTGTCTTTATATGTATATGCAATTAAGTAAGGTCCAAAAAGGAGCTTAAATAATACTATTTCACATGTGAATGATCACATGGTTTGGCTGGTTCTGGCCAAGTTTAAAAGGATTGCATATATTGAGACACGGAACCAAAAAAAAAAAAAAAAAAAAAAACCAATAGGATGTAGCCATCGGAAAACCCTTTCTCTAGAAGGGCTATGTGCCAGCTACTTTGTGTCTAAATAATGCATGATTCATAATAATTAATTGAAAGCACCACCACTTAAAAAAAAAAAAAAACATACGTGTTCATGACTTTCTTGACCAGTGTTTACTCTGCAATGAAGTAGTGTATGATTCTTTTCTTAGTAGGGCATTGTTAGGATAACTTCAACTGCAAGTTAAAACCTTCTCAAGTTTTACAACGTCGAATTGGGTAAAGTGATTTATTGCAAAGGTTGGTTTTTGGGTTCGGATATGGGTCATATTTCCTAACGTGTGTTTCTTTTTGTTGAAAATGTATACGAGTGTATTAAGAATAATAATAATTGAGTAAAAAAGATTTGAATTTTTTTTTTTTTTTGGAAAGATTTGAAAAAAAAAGTTGAAAGAGCACTTTTAGTCTCTTACAACTACTAGGAGACGTACGACTTGGTGTGTACCCAAAAAAATTCAAAGCGATATGTATATATCTTACTGATTCCACAAAACATAGTTTCACTCACAATTAATATTTAAGCCTGCCAAGAACTCGCGTTCAATAGAGTGATAAAAGTGACTTTGAATAACTTTTAAACCAGAACTCTCCGGTGGCTATGTTTTTTTACATCTTATTTTGGCTCTTTTTCATCATCCATTGATGACATTGGCTTCTTTTATGATGCAAGTGAAACCCAATTTGAGATTAACCAATCAAGATTGCAATACCCTAACTAAAAAAAAAAGAAAAAAGAAAAAAACTTAATTCGGGACGCTCTACTTCATCTCAATTGGCCACCTTTGGGAGCGCTCATAATTTTGGGACACACATGTAAGTTGGGTTTATTGATGAATGCAAGGGAAATGTTATTATACTAAAAAAAAAAAAAAAAAAACTCACACAAGTGAATAACGATAATTACTCCATTTGTCTTGGTAAAATAGTTAATAACGAATCATGGATCTGCACGGTGCTTTAGGATAAGCGGCAACGTTGATCTAGGTGGCGGTGGACGGCCTAAAACCTGCAAAAAAGACCTCGGTGTATGCTTAAGACAATAAAGGAATAGAGATAATAGAGAGAGAGGAATGTGTATCGTGTGTAGAAGGTGTAGAAGATAGGTAGAAGATATGCATTATGGGAGAGGCACCACCTCTTTATATAGAGGTGGTGTTACCTGTTTCCTGAAACCCTAGCAGAATAGGTTTAGGCGGTGGCTTAATCCCCAAGTAACCTAATTCTAGGCCCAATAGGCCTAGAATTAATTTATGACTCGTCAAGTGCCCCTAGCAAGCCATATTCTCGAGACTTGATGAGAAGAATATGGATTACTACGAGTACGAGGTTGGAGTGTTGACGGCTTCTCGACTTCTGTAATGTTGCCCCAGTTCTCGAACATGATGTTCCTACAAGATGAACAAAAGGGTGATGGTCAGCAGAAGAAGGTCCTCGAGGGGACAAGGGTCGATGATGGCGGGGTCCTTGGAAAGACAAAGGTCGACAAGGGGTAGTCCTTGGAAGGACAATGGTCGACAATGGAAGGTCTTTCCAAAGGACGATCTTCAGGAGGACAAAGGTCTATGAAAAGACGGTCTCGATGAGAGACAATGGTCCGTGAGAGGACGGTCCTCGAATGGATGACGATCTTCAGGAGGACAAAGGTCTATGAAAAGACGGTCTCGATGAGAGACAATGGTTCGTAAGAGGACGGTCCTTGAATGGATGAGTAGTTGCTGGAGAAGAGTTCTTGAGAAGACAATGATCGACATAAGAAGGTCCTAGGAAGGACAATGGTCGATAGGTGGTGGTCTTCTCGAGGAACGTGGTGCATAAGGACTTCTTAGGAGATTGAGCTCAAGTGGCTCGAGCTTGTGGATCCTCGATCTCGAGATAAATTGATTATTCGAAAAGGTGTTACCTCGATTCCTAGAAGGTAGTAATCGAGTAGATAAAAGTCGAGATACATCTTCTCAAACACTTTGAGTAGTAGTATGGTGCTCGAGGGATTGTTACCCCTTCGAGGAGATATATCTCTCGAAACTCCAATCTTCAAGATTGCCCCTTGCTAATTGTTCTTCTCGATCAGCTGTGGAGCAAGTGCAGCTCCTCGATTATTTGTGCAATCAAAAGTTTCTTTGTGCTACTTGTCGGATGACGTCTTCTTGGCCAAACAAAGATAATTTTTTACGTGATCTTCTAGTTGTAAAATCGGAGCAACGAATTAACACCGTGGCTGCGAAAGATACAAAAGATTCCGTGCTTCGCTAAGAAAATTATTTGGTTGTGAAGACCAAACAAATCGGTCCCATTGGGCGTGCCACTTGACGAAGTATGGATCTGCACAGTGCTTTAGGATAGGCGGCAACGTTGATCTAGGCGGCGGTGGACGGCCTAAAACCTGCAAGACAGAGCCTCGGGTGTCTCCCGAGGGTAGACTCTCTGATGCTTAAGTCAATAAAGGAATAGAGATAATAGAGAGAGAGGGATGTGTATCGTGTGTAGAAGGTGTAGAAGATAGGTAGAAGATATGTACTATGGGAGAGGCACCACCTCTTTATATAGAGGTGGTGTTACCTGTTTCCTGAAACTCTAGCGGAATAGGTTTAGGCGGTGGTTTAATCCCCAAATAACCTAATCCTAGGCCCAATAGGACTAAGGTTAATTTATGACTCGTCAGTTAATATTACAGTTATAAAATATACTTATTTTTAGTATAATTGATAAATTACGATGTGAACATGAATTTTTTTAATTTGTTTATAGTACATGAAAACTGGTCTTATCCTTATACTTAATATAAAGGCATAGTAGGCAAGAAATTAAATGTCCAAGAAATATTCAGGGCCATCTTTAAAGCAATCTCATCCGTCGGATGGAGTTGATATGACGTCAGCGACTTATTAAGGACAAAATCGAAATTTCATAAATACAGTTCCTCACTAAATTTTAAATCTAAAACTGAAAGTTTTTAATAAAAAATCCCCCACTCCCAAAACGATGTCGTTTCGCGGGGTTTATATAAACATTCCAATAACTATTAACTTTTTCTAGTATATGACAAATGAAAATTGTACGTATATACTTTAAGCCATGATTAGGGGTAAAAATGATTTTTCTAGAAAATCCGTCGGATGGGGTTGATATGACATCAGCGACTTATTAGGGGTAAAAACGAAAATTCATAATTTCAGTTTTCTACTAATAATTATTAAGAAATTCGGGAAAAAAAACCCTAGCTATCAAAAATAAAAATAAGAAGTAATAACGATGTCCTTTTCTCCGTCTTCCTTTCCAAACTGAAACTCCTACATAAGGCAAAAATCCCTCCCCCTGTTGTTCTCAACCTCTACGAATTTATGCCGATGGTCGATGCTTCTCTCCGCTCTCTTTTACTCTCTTCTCTTGAATTGGTCTTCCAGTTTATTCTACTTACTCCTATCTTCGATCCAGAAGCACCCTCGAACAAGATTCGGAGTCAATTGCTTTGCGCCTTTAGAGATTTTTATGTATAATTGCTCTTATATGTAAAACTGCTCTTAAAGGTATGAAGCTTTTGTAGCTCTGAATAGTTGTCCCAATTTCAAAAGCTGATAATTTAATCATTGAACCAACAAAGGGAGTTTACTGACATGGTGCTTTTGTTCTACAATCTTTACAAAAAGTTGGCCCTTAATTTTTCTAGAGGCGTTGAATCTGATTTATTTTGACTATTGTATTATAGTTTGCATATGTATATTCATCATAATTTGCATATTTGACTGGATAATGAAGCAATATTTGGGACGAATTTGTACTTGGGACTTCCGGATTTAAATCTTACTCAGTCCAAAGAACACTGCACAAACTAAAGTAGTGAAATTTATGTAAAACCTACCAACAGAAAGTCTTTTACGTGAACAAAAAAAAAACATGTAACAGTGCAACAGTGCATATATTCATATTAATTACTATAAACATTATATTCATTATCATGTAATAGAGCATTCAGTATCAGTAACTCTTGGAAATAGTAAAACAAAGTAGGCGCCACATTATTTCTTGGATTCAACTGTAATTTATAACCAAAAAAAAAAGAGAGAGATTGAAAAAATTAATATGGAAGCTTTCATTATCAACTTCACTTTCTACATTTTCATAGCATTCATTTCAGC